CTTCCTGATTTAGCTCGAGCTATTAGAATTGCTTCATATTTTTCTGAAACAAGTGTGAACTAAATCTCAGGGGGCTGCAGATATATCCCCAAGCATGTAATATAGGAAGCTGAAACTCTGTGCTGCTCTAGCTATGTTACTTAGAGTAAGTCTAAGAGGACCAAATTCTGTTCCCAGTTACACTCATATATCTGAGAGCAGGTTTTGGCTCAAAGTTTCCATTATAAATCCCATATTATAGTTTCATATTTGGACTTTCAAATGTCATCAGCTGGAAATGCTCTAAAGGATTTTTCAGTTTAGGAACAATACATTTCCCATAAGTTATTTTGATCTGTTTGCTGAAAATATCTATGCAGGGTACACACAAAGTTAAACTCCTCAGGATTTCCAAGGGTTTATTTACCAAACCCAAGGCCACAAACTTCTCCTTAAAAAGTGAATGTCTGAAGCTAGTCCTTTATGTATTATTCTCTTCTGGGTTTCTTTAGCAATGCAAGCTAACTTGCTGCATCCATGTGCTGCTCATTAAATTCACCACCTTGCTGTTCCTGGGTGTTTGAGGAGGGGACAGGTTGATGGGTTGGATCCTGGGTGACTATGGTGTTATATATATGAGAATATATTATTGCCCTTATATAAATCGATGGTACGCCCACATCTCAAATACTGCGTACAGATGTGGTCTCCTCATCTCAAAAAAGATATACTGGCACTAGAAAAGGTTCAGAAAAGGGCAACTAAAATGATTAGGGGTTTGGAACGGGTCCCATTAAAGAGGCTAGGAGTCTTCAGCTTGGAAAAGAGGAGACTAAGGGGGGATATGATAGAGGTATATAAAATCATGAGTGATGTGGAGAAAGTGGATAAGGAAAAGTTATTTACTTATTCCCATAATACAAGAACTAGGGGTCACCAAATGAAATTAATAGGCCGCAGGTTTAAAACAAATACAAGGAAGTTCTTCTTCACGCAGCACACAGTCAACTTGTGGAACTCCTTACCTGAGGAGGTTGTGAAGGCTAGGACTATAACAGCGTTTAAAAGAGAACTGGATAAATTCATGGTGGTTAAGTCCATTAATGGCTATTAGCCAGGATGGGTAAGGAATGGTGTCCCTAGCCTCTGTTTGTCAGAGGATGGAGATGGATGGCAGGAGAGAGATCACTTGATCATTGCCTGTTAGATCCGCTCCCTCTGGTGCACCTGGCATTGGCCACTGTCAGTAGACAGGATACTGGTCTAGATGGACCTTTGGTCTGACCCGGTACGGCCGTTCTTATGTTCTTAATATGTAATATAATATGAGGAGTCTGGGGAAGTCATTGACGGGGTCTGGGGCTGTTCTAAGTGCTCTAGGAATGGTTACAGATAATGCAATAAGGCCCAGATTTTTAAAAGTATTTAGGGATTGCTGTGTTCAGCATTGCAAGGCCTAACTGATTTAGGGGTCTAAATCTCATTTTCAAAAGTGATTTAGGTACTTAAGAGTTTAAATCTTATCATCTGTCAATAGGATTTTGGCTTCTGCGTGCCTAAATCCCTTTTGAAATGAGATTTAAGCTCCTAAATCAATTAGGTGTTTCAACACCGAGTGCATACATACCTTTACAAATCTAGGCCTAAGTAGCTCATGTTAAATATTGTACGCACTGTTGATTTTAGAAAGTGTGGAGAGCCTGGAGTTTTAAAGAGGTGCTGGAAAAAATCGAAGTCAAATATATATCTGAATTATCCACTATCACTTAGCGGTCCCCTTATTAGGAATCTCAGTTAGCACCAGCCTGATGTGACGTATTGGGACTCAGCAGGCTTTTCTGCAGTACATGAATCTGGGAAGAGGCTGCGAGTGGCTGGCTGGCCATCTTCCCCTCTGGAGAAAGTAATGTAGTAGCGGACTGGGATTGAACAATCTCATTATGCTCTGCATACTCTTTACCATATCTGATCACCCAGTGAAATGAGCCTATGGCAAGTCCCCCTAGAGTCAACTGGCACCTCCATATATGTATGATGTGCTCTGCTTCCTCCATGGCATGTTTGAGCTCAGTGTTCTCCTCTCTCACAAAATCTTTCCTGCAACTGCAAGACCTCCTCCTTCCATTCATGCCTTCATACACCCACACCCACATTCATTCTTCTTCTCAGGTAGCACTACTTTAAACATGCCCGCTCCATGCTGGTTTTATGCACAGTACCACCTGTAGTGCAACTGCTATCATGAACCATGTAGAGTGGATTTGATGGCCCTTAAAGGGAAGTAAAAACAAGGATTGGCCTGCCACGTTGGGTGCCCATCACTGAATGGGAGAAGAGGCATTGATTCTTTCCATATCTGAAGAAGAACTAGTAGGAGTAATTTCTGGGTGACTCATTTGCGCACACCCCCGCCTTCCAGAAGGAAGTAAAACAGAGTGGAGAAGGGCAGAGAAATTTAATGTAGGACACTATCTCAGCCACACCATTCAAATAAAGGCACAGGAAAGTCTCCTTGGGTTAGCTATAGTTTCCCTCTGCAAGAGATGGACACTTTTTCAGTACAGGTTGCTAGTCTTTTAAAAAATATAGCCCAAAGTAACATGAAAAAAATCAATATGGGCTGTGAATATAGATAAGGCCATTTTTGTAATTAGCCATTTTCAAAACAGAGGGCATGAATAATGTAAGCACGAAGGTCTTTTTTATTTAATTTTTCTTTAAACAGATTATGTTTAGCGGGTTCAAAAGACTACCAAGCCAGAGAACAGGGCTCACTATTGTACGGTGTATAAACAGCTGTGGCTAAGGGCATAACAAATGCTATCAAAGGGCTGAGCCAAAAAATGGATTTAGCTATAAGGAGAAGAAAGAGGCATAACACCGTGTAATGATTATTTAGTTTTACATTTGTCATTTAGTCTTTGTGCACGTTATTCCACACCTAAAGAATAGGATTTCTCCTTTCTCTTCAGCGGCTTTGCTCAAATTGCTGCTAGTAATACCTTGCCCTTGTAGGCCTCCTTTCTGCCAACATTAAGGGCCAGACTGTGACATGGACCACATGCCCATGCAGGGAAGTAAGGAGTAAGAAGCATTTTTGTATATCAGGATGCCAGTTACCTAGCCCCTGTGTCTGGGTGTATAGGAGTAAGCAGGACTACATTTCCTCCCTTGAGCAGGTGGGCAGAGAGGCGTGGGGAACAGGTAGAGCCTTGGCTCCATTCCCTACTCATTGGCTGGAGTAGCTGAGCCAGCGCAGGGTTAGATAATATTTTGCTAATGGTATAGGGCAGCTGAAAATTGCTATTCCATGGGAGCAAGAAGGGAAGAGGTAAGGTATTGTGATTCAGCAGTGTGTCTCAGAATGACGGTGTTGAATCACTCTTCCTGGGGTGGTGTAGCCTATGTCTCACCCCAGGCTCTGAAGTTGTGCCACAGGTAATAATCTAGCCCTAAGTAACTTGTCCTAGGGTCACAGAGAAGGTTACACAAAGAGAGGAGAATATCAGACTGGAAGCTCTCACTCTCAGCCCTCTGTTAGAACCACTAGGTATTATGGGTAAAACTTTCAAAAATGCCTAGGAGCCTCATTTACAAAGCTGTTTGTAAAAGATGCAGAGAGGAGCCCAGTTGGATTGAAAAAAATGACTATGAAGGTACACTGCACTTGCTTAGGTGCTTTTGAAAATCCCACTAGGCATCTACATGCATCTTTTGACACCTAAACACTTTTGTAAATCTATCCCTACGTGACTTGGGCACTTGTAAACCTAAGTCTCATTGTCTTTCACCGAGACTTAAGGGGAGATCTTCAAAGTCACAAACGACACTTAGGTATATGTGCCTAAATATCATTTGGGCCTTTGAAAGTCTCTCCCTTAGGTTCCAAAGTGCTTAAGTCCCTTTTGAAAATGGGGCTTAGTCTCCTTTAATCACTAAGGTGCTTCTGAAAATTTTACCTTACCTCAGACTCTGTCCACATTCTGAATCATATTTTAGTGAGTTAACTAGCAAGTACTTTCATAAAATAACAGCTTGCTAGAAATTTGATGGTGATGATAATAATTAATCATTTGAACAGGCCATCAGAGGGCTGCGTCATAATCCTGGCTTAACACTTAGCATGTCTTTCTCAGCTTCACATCTGCTTTTCAGAGGCTTGTGTCAAGACTGCAAACAAGCTGGGAGCCATGGAGGGAAGGAATTTCTTCCAGTGATGGCCCTTTTTAGAGTAGGTCTTCTGAAGAGGAAGGCATGGGATGGGCCTGGTGAGGGGTGTATGAGGCTCAGCTGGAAAGTGCCTCCCATTTGGCTGGGAAAGTGGCAGGGAATTCTAGAGAGGTGATATGCTGACAAAGTAGCTTGAACCTGGAGAGTAGCACAGGCACACACGGTTGGCACGCCTGTGACATGCCACAGGCGTGCCACATTGCGACATGTAGCCTCGGCTCTGAATAGGGGGTAGCATGGAGCTGCAGTGACCCAAGGGAAGCAGCCATGCCTCAAAACTGTGCTTCAGTCCCTCCTTGTGCTCTCTGGTGAGCACAGGAGGCAATGCACAGGCTACAGCATCCCTATGGACAGCCCAGTGTACCCTCTTATCCTTTCCCAACCACTTCTTCCTCCACAGGGATTTGTGTTCCCCAGGGTAGCATGGAGCATGCAGCCCTTTCCCCTCCTCTATTCAACTGAGTGAAGGCCCTTTGCAACAGGTTACCAGACACACTTCCTGCTGCACTTAATTCTTGCTACTGCATTATTCTCACTTCTAACTTGGATTCAGCTTCCCCCAAGCATGAAAGCTTTTTGCAGAACCTATAAAAAGCAAATATCAGAGCTCGCTCTGTGGCCAGGTTATCCTCAGCTCTCACCTGTGTCTGCTTTAAAACCAATAAGCAGCCTCAATACAATTGGCTTTGCATAAATATCTGCTGATCAGAGATTTTAGTTAGTACATTTTCTCCCATCCCGTTCTCCATAATTAGTGCTCAAGCAAATGCACTCCAAGTAGAGTCTTTTACCTCATGTTCTCCTTCCTGTGAACTGTCAAATACATTTCATATACTCTTCCCTGGGGAACAGCCCCTGCAGGGATCAGCAAACTTACGCCTGCAAAACAGAAGAGACACAAATAAAAGGAAACGGAGAAAGAAAGGCAACCAGGTCTCTGACGAAGAATGACAGGAGATTTTGAAGACGAAGCCCTACATGCTGGTCTCCCTGGTGCCTCCCATTGTCTGTTTTGAATTACTGGAGTGGAGAACTGGATATTTTCCTTCCCCTTTTGTTTTATTTAAGGAACAAACAGATGTTTACTCTGTTGCTTACCTTGTAAAATGTGGGGAAAACCAACAACTCTGTCTAAAATTTCAAACAGCTGTAATGGAACATCTCTCCCCAGGCATTTCTTTTTTAATAAAAAACAACAACAAAATCCCAAAACAGCAGAATACTGGCCCAGGAAACAATAAGAACCATTTCTTTTTGGGAGGAGCTGGTTATGTGGTCAGCATCCGTGTTTAGATGTACTTAACTTCTAATTACACAATAATTAGGACAAAATGGGGATACTTGACATCCCTTATATGTCCATTCATAAAGAGTGGTCCAGAATTCCAATACCCAGTCAAGTCTGCCCTGCACTGAACACAAGTTAGTGGCAATTAGTGATGTGCCATGAGGCACAAGTACTCAGTAGTCCACGCAGCCGGGCAATTCTGGACCAGCTGCCATTGCTGAACTGGAGCGATCAGAAATCTATGGTAGGGATTTCAGTTTCTCCTGCATAAAATTATAACTAGACAGCTGAAGCAAACCTATGAACAGAATATTCACAAGGATATATGTGTGTGTGTGTGTATGAGAGAGAGAGAAGAAGAAGAAGAAGAACTGGCCTTACAAAATGATGCACTGGACAGTCCTCATTGATATATGAATAGTTTGGGGTCTGGTTACATGAGACCACCTCTCTCTATATACAATACATCCACTCTTGTGACCAGTAGATGTGTTTGAGCTGGAGTCCCTCCCCCTGTTTTAAAAGGGAGGGTACAGCTGGCAGGCTGTTTTTCATGAATGCCTTTTGACTTTGGAACTTGTTTCCCTGTGGGTTTGTCACAGCCCAGATACATTAAGCTTCTGGGCATGCTGCCTCACCCATGTATTTCCTCAGATGTACAGGGAGGGATTATAGGGACTTTGGACTGTTAATTGGTGGGTACATATTACTGGAAGCTGTATAGACAGCCCACTGTATTGGTTATAGCTGATGGATAGATTTGTTTCTGTTTGTTTTAATTATTTTTAAAGTGCTCCTAGCAATAGATATGTACTTTTTCACCTACAAACTGAAGTTAATATGTGAATTAAATTATGTATGTCTAACAGACTTTGCACTACATGTGGAAAGCATAGTGGAAAGTAACCTGAGAACAAACTGGACCTCTAACAAGAAGAGCCTGAATTTCAGGTCTACAGCACGATAGACTAGATTTTGAACAGAACTCAGCAAACCACAATCAGGCCAGATTTTTTTTTCTTCAGAGCAGCTCAGCACCCATTTAGGCCCATAAATTAAACAGATTAAATTTTCAAAAGCATTCAGCATCCAGTAAGAAGAATAGGGATCACCAGAGGCTAAGGGGTTTTGAAAATCTAACCATTTCATTTGGTGTCTAAATAGGAACAGAGTTGCGTTTCTTTTTTTTTTTTTTTTTTTTAAATCTGGCCCTGGTTGCTGGTGTTGAGCACTTAAGAAGCTGGCCCTGAATGTGGTGAAGATTTGGTATTCTAGCAGATTTGAATATCCACCCCAGGCCACTTCTCTTAATAGGCCATCACACTGAAGTTGGATTAACTGAAAATTTTGGTTAACTGGGGTCCTACTATCCAGCTAAATAACAGCGTAGCCATTTTCCAAGCTGTAAACAGAACTTAGTTTTTTTTTTCTTTACTAACTTGTGCTGTTCCTGAAAAGCTTCTAATAAAGAAATATGAAAAAGACAAACATAATGTCCTGGTTTCCTTTGCTATGTAATCTCTGTTAGGCAAACTATTCAATCACCTGCAGAAAATTAGTATTCTGCTGTCTTGCTTCAGCACTGCACAGTCTGCAGCAAACTGGAACTGGAACAACTGATTTGTTTTCTAATTAATTTGTCCTTTTTATGCATGATAACAAAAGTGAGGCTTTCTGGCTTGAAGTTGGGTTGTTTGGTTTATTTTGGGGATCTGTATGAAAGGAAAAGGTCAAGGATGCTGAATCCCACTTCACACAGGGAAGTTCTGAGGTCTAATATTTCTGAAGGAAGTGGTCACAGTCTTCTGATTTGTTGTTAAAGAAGGCCAGGACTTTTGGGAAAGGATATGTGAAATAGCTGAGTAAACCTGAATGGAAAAAAAATGCTGTTTGGGCTAAACAGAAAAGGCAGATTCCAAGGAGTGACCTTGTTTTTTCTGCCTAAAAGAACAGATAGATGGCATTGCTTAAAACCACCAAACCACCACCACTTTTGAAATCTCATTAGGTACCTCTGAAGCTGATAAGTGCAATACTTACCTGAATTGGGAATGATCAGGTGACCTCCAAGGGAGTTGAAGGTGCCAAAAGCAGTGCATGATGGGTCTGTTTGTCGAGCAAGACTCTGGTTTTTCATGTTCAGGGTCTCGTTTTCCAGCAGAGACTGAGTTATCTGTGGGGATAACTTGGATGAGAAGTCGGACAGGTCGTCCTGTGGGGTGACTGCACCCGAGGTACTATAGACCTTGATCTTCAGGTTGGGCAGTGGATCAAGGATTGGAGAGTTGGTCATTGGGATTTTATCAGAGACATCATGCAAGGCGTAGACAGGACCTCTGTACATGGCTGCAGCAGATGTGAGGTCTGGTGGCACTGCCAGGAGATCTGTGTTGGAAATGAAAAAAAACAACAAAGTATTACCCACGGCTGTATCCCCTTCGCTGAAGACTTCCTTCTGGGTGAAGATTTAGTGGTGCCATTCTATTTGTGTCTTCATATTGAAGGGAATGATGAGCAAAGCCCTAATGGACTGATATTCTTCTCCTTTTGTATCCATCCACACATCTCCAGGGGTTTACATAGGCCCTATCGCTATGGAATCTAATTGCTGCACAAAACTGAAGTGCAACCCTACTCCAAGGATTTTTAACCTGTATTCTTTTCCAGTCTGCACTCTGACTTCAAATATGACATGCCAGGCCTCAGTACAAGAGACTCTCTATGACAAAACCAGTTTTATTAATTAATTTTCCTCCCATAAATGCTAAGTATGAGAATCATTAGCCTATTTATTCAACCAGTCCAAAGACAGAATGATAGAAAGAAGAGATAGAAAAGACCTATGGGGTCATCTTCCTCATCACCCACAGCCAGCGCAGGATTGTCACCAACGGTATGTTGTACAGTGCCTTCTGCAGCTTAGCTTTAAACAAATCCTTGGCAAAGAAAGTGCTGCTCCTGCTAATGTTCCATTTTTACAACTCTCTAGCCAGTTTTACTTTTTTCTTGATATAACTTTAATACTCAAAGAATGACATCAAAAGCCAGAAGGTTCAGCCCAAATGTATAGCTTCCAAGAGCCAGTCTTGGCTTTGTGTGTTCATTTTCTGTCTGATGATGTCTGCAAATAATTATGCTATTATTAACTGGTGACAGAAATTTATTATGTTTTCTACCCACTGAATCTTGCGCCAGAGCAATGTCTCATCTCTCAGTAGTAAATACCTCCCACACATCTCTCCATGCAGACAGAGAGGTCACAGTAAATATGATTATCAGACAGTAAAATGAGAAATATAATGTGATGGAATTACTTTATTAGAGTATTATTCTAAGACATGGTAGAATGAGTCCTGTTTCTGTTGTCGCCAATGGTGTATTTGCCACTGACTTATATACAAACCCTTATTTCTACATGTCTCTGTGTGTCCCGCTCACTCCTTTTCTCCTGAAGTTTATACTACTCTGTTTCATGCTCTAGAGTAGATCTGAAAAATCCCAGCATAAGGCTTTAGCACTTGACTATAAGAAACAAATGAGCATAACCTTTCTTTTTTTCTATGAAGGGGCAACTAGCATCCAGTGAATATAATTCATACAACCCTGAAGACCATTTCCTTACAGCATCTGCCTGAATTGATCTACATGAAATGAAATGACAACTAACCTTGTCTTGCAGCCTTGATGTTAACGGGTTGGAATCCGCCATTCAGTGCCGAGGAGTCTATAATATCTGACTCAAAGTCACGGTGGTTCTTCCGATACACGAACAGTGCCACAATCACTGAAATAGCTAGGCACACGATTACAGCTATCACAATGCCAACGTAGAGAGCTACGTCATCTGAGTCAGGAGCAGCTGGAGGGACAAAAGAATTAAACATTGTTCAGTGGTATCTGGTCACAGGAATTTCCAAGAGTATACATCCGTATTACTGTCATTTCCTTCTGACATTTGTTATCTTTTTTATAGGTTAACTGAAAATCCATCTCCAAAGCAGGGCTGTTCCCTTTCAGAGGAAAAATGATCCTAGATTTTTCTTAGCTATTTTCTCATGCTTTATATATCTATCTATCTAGTAACTAGGCAGCATAACAAACCATTTATAACTAGACTTATAAAGCAAATTTAGCTAAACAGGGTATAACACCATATCAATTCCGGACGAGAAATTCAATGTTAATTTAGTGGTACATTGGATAACAAAAAGGTTTTTTTCTTCACGTCTTACTTTAAAAATAAAAGGCCACTTTTTGTGGACACGCCTGGCATGTCCTGATAATGTGTGTGTACTGAGTTAGAATATTTTTCTAAGTGTAATATTCCAAGTCGTTAGTTTCTTTCCAGAGCACGTCCTACCTCCCCCTACACCCCATTTGAGACAAAAAACCTGCAAAAATAGAGCAAAACAAATGCTGAGATCTCATTAGTGGAATGAGACAAATGTTTGGACAAATGCTGAAGCAAGCACCATCTACTGAAAGCAAAATTCAACAAGGAATACCGTAATTTACAAAAGGAAGCCAAGTTCACTGTAGCTCTCCTTTGGGAACAAGGCCTGCCCATGAGATTTTCGCTACCTGTTTGTATCATAACTTCTGCACTAATCCCAGGGTAATACCTAGCACCACTTTCTACCAGATATGTTTCCAAAAGGCCTGAATACATGATCAAAAATTGATGCGTTGTGAGTGTAGCGAAATATTCCACTATTAGAAGAAGCATACCGAGCGAAGAAACTGCAAACATATCAAATCTTTCTCATGCACTATTTTGGTTTAATTTAGAGCATATGAAAGAATTTTTTTGTCCTCTGCTTTCCAAAGGTGTAAGCCAGTCTGCCTTGCAGGTGAGATATGGCAGATGTTGAAAGGGACTGATCAAACTCTATCTGGTCTTAGCTATTATGTATTCTTAAAATCTCCATTGTTCAAAATGCAACCCACTTTTGTCCATCAACACAGGTTCTCAGGAAGCAGAACTCTGAATTCCAGCCTGAAGATGCTATATCTCCTCCATATTCTCTCTCTCTTTTTAACGTTTATAATAATTTCATATTTGACAGTTTCCTACTCCTCCTCAGATATGAATAGGCTTCTCCCTTTGATTTCTGGCTTTCAAGCACCAGCTTATCCCCTTTCCTTTATCCACCTATTAATGAGGACAGTTATCATGCCACATGAGCTGACTGCAGTGTTGTTGTAGCTGTGTCAGTCTCAGGATATGAGAGAGACAAGGTGGGTGAGATAATATCTTCTATTGGACCATTGTCTGTTGGTGGAAGAGACAAGCTTTCAAGCTAAACAGACTTGAAGTCCGAAGAAGAGCTCTGTGTAGCTGAAAAGCTTGTCTCTTCCACCCACAGAAGTTGGTCCAATAAAAGATATGAACTCACCCACTTTATCTCTCTCACATGAGTCTATTGACAATTGTAACACTGCCACTCCTTGCCTCCCATTAAGCAAGCAGGATGCAAGTCACGCTGTACATTAGGCCCCTCTTTCCCGATGCACATGTAGCTGGGCTAAAAGTAAATCTTGAACCAAGTAACAGCATCACATCAGTAATCAGAAACATAAAATCAAACATTAAACTTACAAGAAAATCCATATTCATTCTGGGTTCTCTGTTCAGTTGAAATAGGATAAATGAAACCTTAAAAAGAAAGAAATTAAACAAAAATGGGAACAAAATCAAATTAATGAGGGGAAGCAAAAAAAGGAAAGCATGAAAAATGGTTTAATTAAAAAAAAAGAAGGAAAAGAAACCCATGGTACTTTACAATTCTGATTCAGCACAGAATTATGATTTTGCATCTCCTGTCTGCTCCAGAGCCTCACTAAGAATTAATAAGTAGGCAGATTGAATTTCAGAGCCAAAATCGGTCTCGAGTCACTAACTTTGGAGTGCTTAAAGTCTTTCTTTTATTGAGCATAAACTCTAATGGATCTAATTTATTTCAGACATCAAGCATCATTAGCATATGGAAAGTCTTTTTTCCCTACCCCTGCCATATGGTTTAATTCCCAGGACATTTTCAGTAGGGCTCTAAACAGTTTTTTTATTTAATTATAGTGGCTTGCTGTTGGTCTAATAGAGCTAAAGGAGACTTGTCGTCATTGGTCAGAGGTTAAATACCCATTTGCTGAGCAAAGCCCATACAGAAAACCCTCTTTTTGGATTTCCTTGGAATTATTTTATCCTGTCTCTAATAGGAATCCAATAGGAATTCCACAGGGTGCAAGCAAATTGAACTGGAAACTGAATGTGTTCGATTTGAAATCATTATAAAATCAATAGAGGACCAGGGGTCATAAAGTTATTTATTTTAAATCTTTGAAGGCATAGTGTAATATTGATAAAATCATAATGTAATTCGGTTTTATTCCAAAACAGATCAACAGTAACAGTATCTCTTTCTTTCTTTTATTTCTTTTCCATCTCCTACAATAATATAGTAGCACTTTTTCTCTTCCAGTTGCTCTAGCTGGTTGGCGCAATAACCCTATGAAGTAGGCATTTTTTTTATTCCCTTTTTACCAATGCAGAAAATGAGTCAGAGGGTCCAAGACTGATCCCATAGAAGTCAATCATGTCTGGAGAGGTAAATGACATGCCCCATTGTCAGAGCTGAAATGAGAACTTCGGAGGGCCTGACTCCCTTTCCTGTGCTCAGGCTGTGGCACTTTTAAAGCCGTACTATAAAAATACCAAGTGTTTATGAAAGCTAACTACCTGTCACATAACCATGCTGTTAACTGAAATACTAGAGGCAGGCAGAGATATTCTTTATGATAGAGGCACTTTGCTGCAGCACCATGGGACAGCATTATGCCTTATTTCCCAGCAATGATTCCAGGCTTGCGCTTACTTTTATAAATATTATATTCCTCACTCATTTGTATGATTCCTTGAGGCAAGTTTGCCTGTTTGCATTTTTAATTGTTTCTCTCTCGTGCTAGTGAACTCATAACACTGGAGTTTAGGACATGAAAAGGATGCAAGGAGAGAAGAGAGACGAGGTGGGTGAGTTATTGAACCAACTTCTGTTGGTGAGAGAGACAAGCTTTTGAGCTTACAAAGAGCTCTTCTTAAGGAGAGAAGTCAAGCAAGCAACTGCTGAAAGTCTGGGGCAGTGAGAGCACAGTTAGTCAATCCATGGTTGGGAAAGTTCATGCTAGTGTTTGCAGCTGCACCAGTGTCACCATACAATATGCAAACTTCAGGGATTTGGTGGAAACCTGAAGACATCTTGGTCTATTGTGGGGAGGTGATCCAGGACTAAATTTGCTCTCAGTGACACTGGTGTGACATCAGTGGAATTGCTCTGGATTTATTAAACTCAGTGAGAGAAGAATTCAGTCCCAGATGTCCTTGCTGCGGCAGTCAAAGGTGCCTTCTGGAATCCAGCCAATAGAGGGCGCTATAATAGGAAAATTCCCTAAAAGCCAAAAAAATGATGCAGCATTAAAGGGGAACTGAAAAGTTGTTTTTTGTTTTATTTTAACCTGGCAAGTTTTGAGTTCAGAGTCCTGTGTTACCCTTGCTATGAGATATAGATGAGATATAGTAACTGCCACTCAAAAGAGATCAAAGAGCTGCAGAACCTGCACTATTCTAGGTGTTACTGATGGCATCATCTGTGGTTGGAGAAACACAACAACCTGAATTCAGGTCTTGGTGGGTAAGTAAACACAGAGATGATTTTAAATATGCTGGGTCAAATTTATCCTGATGTGACTACACCATAGATTTCTATTTGTTAAAAATATTTATTTGCAACTTCTAACTCTATATACACTCTGCCACTGATGAATTTAAAACAGTAGAACTTTCATGAAAAGGCAGCTATAAAATCTTATTCAGAAGATCTGCTTTGTGTGAGTATTGAAAGTCCTATCTATTTACTTAAATGGAAAAAATAAAGCTTTACTGCTTGCTAGGCCTGCTAGCCTTTCAAAGCCAATACATCTAAGACAAAGCAGCTGGATTCTATTCCCTCCTGTGCATCAGCAACTGAACTGGTTACTAAATTCCAATCAGCTGCATCTGTGCAAACCCACACTGGCTTGCACAAGTGCCATTGAGGGCATAATTTAGGCCTGCAGATTTTTTTATTCTTGTTTATGACCTTTATTCCAGGCTTGACTTTCAGAGCCCAGGTTGAATTTTGCAGAACAACTGAACATAACTGTTTTGGAAATCATTGAGAGATAATAAGCAAGGAGCCCTTCCATGCCATTTTTTCAGAGTCACAATTCAAAGTAAAACTGCACTTTTAAACAGCTTAAAAAAAAGAACTTTTCCTTTCACTTTTAACAGAGGGAGAGAATTGAAATGGTAGAGACAAGCAGAAGGCTCGAGGACACACTCTGATGATGGTGGCAGTGGGGAATATGAGATTATCGCCACCCTCCGGAATGACAACATGGGTATCTCTTTAGACAGTTGGTTTTCATGTTGGCCCATCTGATCCCACTCTCAAACAATGAGCTAGGACATTCTCTTCAGATAATGAGGCAAACCTGCTGAGATTAGTAACTGTGATAATGAAAAATGGCTTCCCTCCCATCTTCAGAGTGAGTGCCATGCAAAATGATATTCCCCCCCACCGGCTGCATCAGTAGTGCTGTTTGCCAAGTACCTAAGGGACTTCTACTTTTTAATTTTAAACAAGGGGAACTAAGAAAGGTGCTGTTAACAGGCTTTGACTCTCCTGCTGGTGCTGCTGACTCATGCATTGAGCAGCTGGTTTCACAGTCAGTAACTTGCTTTGAGGAAAATAACTTAAGCCTCATCACTTGGCTTGTTTTGAAATATAACATTTCCAAAAGTTCTTTTGGTGCTTTGTTTATTTCTTGTGTGTGTTACTGCTGGAACAATAAAAATATGAATAACTGTACTTTACACTTATATAGGCCCTTCCATCTGAAGATCTCAGATGCTTTTCAAAGTGAGGTATTTATTATCCCCATTTTACATACAGAAAATAGTAACACAGAGAGGTTAATTGACTAGCCCAAAGTCACATACAGTGAGTCAGTCAGAGGCCAAGTCTACACATTGAAATTGCACTAATGCAACTAAATTAATTTCTAAATTGATTTAATGAAATTGGTGCAACTCTCTTGAGTTTACAGCCTGTTCTACACACAGTTTTTGTACCAGTATATCTGTTTCAGTGGAAGTGGTGAGGGGTGATCTTTTTTCTTTTTTTTTTTTTAACTGAAAGTTATAAAGGTGCCTTATACCTTAATAACTGATTCCCTTTCCCCTACGGGAATAGCAATACTGATATAAACATCCTTTATACTGATATAATCCACTAGGGGGTTGTACTGGTCTAGTTAACTTTTGTGGGTAGAAAAGACGTTTGACTGCCTTATATCCATTGAGATTAATTAAATTTCAATATCAGTCATTCTTAAACCGATTTACAGGGTTGCACAGATTTAACTAAATAGATTTAGAAACTGATTTAATTAAATTAGTGCAATTTGTAAGTGTAGCTATCCCCCAAAAGTCAGAAATAGATACCAAGTATCCTGACTCCCTTTCTCCTGTTCTGACCTCCAGGAAGCAGATTCATGCCAAAGGCAATAAGTAAGTGACACCAAGATGTAATTAAGTGGACAAAATTTCTGGACGTATGGTACCCTGGCAACAGCCTGCCTTTGTGGGAAGGTAGCAGAATTAATAAACACTGAGATGATTTCTCTTCATGTGGCAAAAAGTCCCCTAAAATAATTTACCTGCAGAGGAGAAGAAAAGCCCACTCCATGCAAAAGATTCTTTGGCATTTTTTTAAGAGATGGGATATTTGGGGAATGGAAAAATTCATCACTCTGAAAGGTAATTATGCAAAAAGTTATGACACTGACTCCCTGGAGTCCTTTTTCAAAATTTCCAGAGATGTCCATAGTAGCCAACCTAGCATCTCCTAATTTTTGGTCTACACTAATCATTACTGGGATGTGGACTTATATACTACTACATCATGTTACATCCTTTGTCCCTCAAGATTAGACTACTGCGATCTACATGGAGCTATGGTTTAAGTCCACCTGGAAACTACAGCTGATGCAAAATTCAGGAGCCCACTTGCTAAGTAGATTTCTCTTTGCAAGCACATTAACTTCTTCTCTATTGTTAAATATTAATAATAATAATTATTATTAATAATTTGCATTGCAGTACCACCTGGGAGCCATGGGCCAGGACCCCACTGTGCCAGTCACTGTACAAACAAAAAGAGAGTCCCTGCCCTAACATATGTTGTATGAACTACACTAGCTGCCTATTGGTTCAGGGATTGATTCTGAGCTGTAGGTTTTTATCTATGCAACTCTAAAACTACTTGAGACATTACCTATCTAGGAGACGGCCTCTCTCCCCATGGTATAAAATAAATAAGGCTGCTGGGAGGGCCTTTGGAACTTTCTTCACTCTGATCCATAATAGAATGTGTAACCTCCAGGGAATATTGCAAGGCCCATCTTTTCTCCCTTCCCCACAGGGAGTTGGGTGAAGCTGGGGAGTGGTTGGGGGAGCGCTCCTTGGTGATTTTGTTAATGGGTCTTATTAAATATTTGTTATATTTATGCTGCTGCCAGGATAATTCTGTCTGCAGGTAATTACTAGGGTCCATTTTTTTT